ATAATTTATAAACTACTTTAATTCTTAATTTTACTTTATTTATATTTAAAAATTAAAAAAATGAATATATTTTCCCATTTAATTAGTCCCACCTACCATTTAATAAAATTAAATGAAATTTAATTAATCGTTCCATGAATTAGGAAATAATTTTATTAATTAAAAATTAAAGTTGAAGGATGTTTTTGGTACTTTCTGAATTTTAAGATGAATTGGTTCAAAAATAAAAGTTGAGGGACCAATTCAGATATTTAACCTAAACAATATGTTAGCCAGGTCAGCATCACTATTCAATTAATCCTTAAATAGAAAAAATTGAAAGTTGACATCTTTAAACAGAAAAGGTTGAAAGTTGACATCCTTATTTAGAAATTGACAAAATTAATATCCTTTTTTAGAAAAAATTGAAAGTTGACATCCTTAGTTAGAAATTGATAAATTTAACATCCTTAAATAGAAAAAAGTGCAAAGTTGGAATCCTTATTTGCACCTTTACTCTCAAAAAGTGTATCTTTTTTTACACAATTTTTTTCTTTTGTACTTTTTCACATTTTTATACTTCAGCTTTCATTAATTTTTCTTGAGATTTCATTTTTTAGCCTATTCTCTCATATTTTATTATTATATTTATCTATCTACTCTACATTCACTTATATTCTCTCTCTCACACACACTCATTGTTTGTTATTAATTTTCTTCCATTATCCTTATTCCCTCAATTTAAATTTGAATTATTATCTAATTAATTAAAGTTGTTGAACCAATTTGGAGTTGAAATATAAAAAGAGAAGTTATTGAGCTTTTTTTTTTTGCCTAATTAATTAATTTGTGAAATCAAATTGAAATGTTGATAATTAAAATTATAATTACATTTATAATTATTCATTATAGATTTTAAAAGGCAAATTGGGTATTTATTTAATATTTTAGAGGGATTTTGAAAGGCTCATTAAGTATTTATTCAAAATTTATTGAAAATTTTAACAATTTTTATAATATAGTGAGATAATAAGATATAATTGAGTTTGATTTTTAAAAACTCATCGGGCATTTTTAAAAAATTTTAAAAGACATGTTGGTTATTTATTCAAATTTATTATAGATTTTAAAAGTCCTATTGAATTTTTATTGTTAATTTATTAAAGATTTTAACAATTTTTATAATATAGTAAAACATAATTAATTCTAAATTTTAAAAAGTTATTGGGTAATTATTTAATATTTATTTAAAATTTTTAAATGCCTATTCGGTAATTTTGTAACATTTGTTGAAGACTTATTAAAATTTTATTTAGAATTTCAAAAAGTCTATTGGATATTTAATCAAGAATTACTGAAAATTTTAACTATTTTTACAATATAGTAAAAAATAGTAAAACAGTAATGCAATTCCTAAAAATCCTATATATACAATATATAATTAATAAAGTTGAGTCGAAATTTAATTATAATTTGAATTAAAGT